AAACTTTAAATGCAGCGAGTTTGAGCAACAATCATGGACAAAAGTCTTGCACTTTTGACGCTTTTGAACACATGCCAGACGTGAATACAACTTCACCTGCCTAACCTCTCCCACCACCAATATACAAAGTTGAAAACGCGTACCTGCATTTTCTTCTGAGTTTCAACATTGTATTGGGTGGGGAAGGGGGAGGGGGGGCAGCAACGTGCTTTTGAAAGGATAACAGTGGTTTTTCAAACTTCATTTGTAAAACAGATAATTCGTTGCATTACGTAAGTGTCCCAAAGACTTTTGTTCAACATTGTAGTTTGTACAAAATAATGATATAAAGACCATACGCATTTTTGGCGCAACGTTTGAAAAACGCTAACGCGTCAACGCGTTTGTTGCCAACGCGCTTTCCGCGTCCATTTTGGTACACTTTTCTGCCTGTGCTGTAGCATAAGACATAAAGAGAAACAAAGAAACAGAGAAACAGAAAAACAGCAAGTATAAAACCAAAATAAAGCAAACATCATGATTACAAACCTCGGACTAACAGGTAAACCAAAGCTTTCAGATGGCTGCCTGGTACGAGTGTAGACCAGAAGTCTGGCCATGGTGATAACTTCACCACTGTCTGGACACACACCCACTACTTGAACATCATAGTCCTTAAGTGACTTGTAGCTGTGCTGGAGACCTTCATGCGATAGAATCAACTCATTGATACACTGCTCTAAATCAAGTGTAACTTGCTGAACAGCTAATGCATGTAGCATTTTACTTCCAAGATTTTCTTCAAGGCATGAGTTTGCGGATGTATTTGGGTTGCTTTCGTTAAGTTTGAAAACTTGCTTCAGGCTGCTGCCATGGCATGTTTTTACAGTGAGTGGCAGTGATCCATCAAACATGTCAAATTCACCTGTTAGATCAGGGAGCTCATGGTAGTCAGGATCATTGCTGCTTTCTATGTAGACCTTGAAAACTGACGAAGTCAAGTTGTTGTTGTTTAAAACCGGCCCAGATACAGCGCAGCCACAAGAGCTACAAATATGTGACACCTTGTCAGGGAAATCCAAATCACATCTACTGTGGTCAGATTCTTGAAACTTGTTACGAGCTGATTGCTCTGCACCATTTTGAAGAATGTTGGGGTCATCTTCAGAGACATTAATGTGTGCACTATTTCCTGCATTATGCAGATCACTGCAAGAATTCAATGCACTTTTGGAGGTTTGAGCTAAGTCAGAAGGGTGATGATCAATATTGACATCAAACTTTTCCAAATTTCCTCTTTCATCGCATTCCTTAGTTGAGTTGCAATCGTGATTTCCTGTGGAATCTCGGCATTCTCTTTGGCTTCCAGTATTCATAGCAGGTGGAAGACACTCTTCTTTGTTTACATTAATTTTTCCATGCCACTGTTCTCCACGGATTTGGTTAAGGACATCAACAAAGCCTGAGATAATTGTGTGACGATCAGCATGTTTGTGCAAGGAGCATGCAGACTGCATACTCTTAGCTTTGTTGCCTAAGCTGGAGTCTTGGTTAGCATCAGCTTCAGAGCTGGCAATGCCATCAACCTTTCCACAAGATTTGACATCAATCCCTTCAGGAGATAATGCAGGTCTTTCTAAAACTCCTATGGCAGCACACTGACATGGAATGTCACCTTTACCAGTCACACCACCTGAATCCTGTTTGTTGTCAACAAAGCAGCAAGACTTCTTTGATGCCTTGTCTTCTGTATCTGGATATAAACTCTTGAGAACTTCAGAAAACTTGTTGTTTGTGTTCTCAATGGTTAAGATCCTTAATGCCATCAGGAAGTCCCCAGTATTGAAGAGAACTGTATCATCCATTTTCAGATTTGTTGAGGGGTTAAATATTGGAAAAGGAGGCAAAAGGTCATACTTAAAATGTACCACAAAAGAGTGTTTCAAACACCTCTCTGTTATTCCACCAAGGGCTGTGTACTTGCAAAGGGGACATGGGTGTGGTGAGGGGGTGGCACAAACCGTGACATAACACTGATGGCTGTGGTCTTCTTTTACAGAACGTCTGTGAGAACAAAATATAACATGAGATATTAATTGCTCCCTAGAGTAAGAAAGAATCCAAAATGGTGACAATGGTCAGAAAATGTGGCAGCAGTGCGGTTGAGTGGTTAGGGCGCCAGACTTGAAATCCAGAGGTCGCAGGTTCAAGTTCTGCTCTGACCACTCAGCTGGAGTTGTTTCTCAGTAGACCCTAGTTCAACTTCTCAGTTGTGCTTGTGAATAGTCAACTAGTCTGCTTTCTGCCAGTCGGGATTTTTAGGCCTATTATGTAAAGTTGATATATTTGTTTCTTTCAGTTTAAGTGGCATGCATGTGAACTACAATCCTGGCCAGAAGTCCTTGGGACACTTGACAAAATGCCAACTGGTGACACGTTATTTTGTAGTGGGAAGTCATTATTTAATTTGCTGAAACCCCTCTCCCCTCCCCAAAACAATGTTGGAATAGTGGGTCTACTGAATCAATATCAAAATTGTGTTGGGGTGGGGAAGGCAAGGAGGACAAAAAGACCATATGTTGGTAAAAGTACAAAGTGTTCCAAGACTACATGTACGTGTAGCCAAGCGCATAATTTTGACCACTTTAAGCAACATTTTTGAACATTTTTTGAGCTTGCATCTAGGCTCCTGAACCCATCATAAATTTATTCTACTAAAAATGGCACATGAATGTACAGTTGTGTACAAGCACTGCAGACATCAGAGATAACAGCAAATTTTTCGTACACTTCACCGTAGACCACTGTCTGTGACTCATCTGGGCTCTCAGCAATCAGTAAATGCAGATCTTCGTGTATCTCTTCTTCATCAAACAATGCAACAGTAAACACCTTATAGAGACAAATTTCATTCAAACATCAGTTAAAACTGCTATGGGACTGACAATTCAAATTACACCATAACTTACTGTCTCGCTCACTTCACGTGGAGGTAGGGTGGAGGGGCTGAAAATGGTCCCTTTTTGCTTGAAAGTGTGGGGTGGGGGAGGGGAGTGAAGATAGGCATTGTTTTGCTCTATTGCCTTTAACCATGGGGAGGGGAAGGATGATATTTTTGGAACTTTTGGGCTCCACATTCAAAATTTCAGCAATGGGAGGGAAGCCCTTCTCTCTGCCCTACATTAGAGCTCAGCATTGATTTTGACTTTGTACTTGTCAAAACACACTTTCTTTTTATGAACTTAGTGAAGAAACCCGTCAGGAAAATATTCCCAAAGGTCATATAATTGTGTGCTTGATCGATTCACAATAAATGAAGGAACCCGTGGAATGTTTTTCTCATCCAGACTGACCTTACTCAGTCTTATAATATGCCACTTCTCTGCGCTAGATTTTGCTGAAAACTTGTGAGAATGCTTTGGTAAATATTGAATAACACTCTGCCCTAAGCCATCTGAGCTTCTCTTTTAGCCCAAAATTTTCAATGTTATAGTCTAACAAAGATACAGAGTAAACTACGCATTACAAACCTGAACTAATGGCCTCCATTGATGAAACTCCCACCAATGAAGAGAGTAAACATAGCGAGGCATTGGACAGCTGTCATCGTTTTCAATTTTAAGGCAGTATGATATCAGGNCAATGTTGGAATAGTGGGTCTACTGAATCAATATCAAAATTGTGTTGGGGTGGGGAAGGCAAGGAGGACAAAAAGACCATATGTTGGTAAAAGTACAAAGTGTTCCAAGACTACATGTACGTGTAGCCAAGCGCATAATTTTGACCACTTTAAGCAACATTTTTGAACATTTTTTGAGCTTGCATCTAGGCTCCTGAACCCATCATAAATTTATTCTACTAAAAATGGCACATGAATGTACAGTTGTGTACAAGCACTGCAGACATCAGAGATAACAGCAAATTTTTCGTACACTTCACCGTAGACCACTGTCTGTGACTCATCTGGGCTCTCAGCAATCAGTAAATGCAGATCTTCGTGTATCTCTTCTTCATCAAACAATGCAACAGTAAACACCTTATAGAGACAAATTTCATTCAAACATCAGTTAAAACTGCTATGGGACTGACAATTCAAATTACACCATAACTTACTGTCTCGCTCACTTCACGTGGAGGTAGGGTGGAGGGGCTGAAAATGGTCCCTTTTTGCTTGAAAGTGTGGGGTGGGGGAGGGGAGTGAAGATAGGCATTGTTTTGCTTTATTGCCTTAAACCATGGGGAGGGGAAGGATGATATTTTTGGAACTTTTGGGCTTCACATTCAAAATTTCAGCAATGAGAGGGAAGCCCTTTTCCCTGCCCTACATTAGAGCTCAGCATTGATTTTGACTTTGTACTTGTCAAAACACACTTTCTATCTATGAACTTAGTGAAGAAACCAGTCAGGAAAATATTCCCAAAGGTCATATAATTGTGTACTTGATCAATTGACAATAAATGAAGGAACCCGTACAATGTTTTTCTCATCCAGACCGACCTTACTCAGTCTTCTCTGTGCTAGATTTTGCTGAAAACTTGTGGGAATGCTTTGGTAAATATTGAACACTCTGCTCTAAGCCATCTGAGCTTCTCTTTTAGCCCAAAATTTTCAATGTTATAGTCTCACAAAGATACAGAGTAAACTATGCATTACAAACCTGAACTAATGGCCTCCATTGATGAAACTCCCACCAATGAAGAGAGTAAACATAGCGAGGCATTGGACAGCTGTCATCGTTTTCAATTTTAAGGCAGTATGATATCAGGTATCTGCCATTCTTGGTAAAACCCAAAATAACATGTCTAAGAAATACAACAGAATGTTATAGGCTAAGCAACCAAACATATATCTGCCTTTATTGCTATTCCTTTTATGAAGACCCCATGACCTTTTTAGGTCAGCAGCACCAAGAATAAAGCCCTCTGGCCAGTTCCGCAGAGCATGCAGAGTACTCATATTGTGTTGTAATCCAATCAGATTGGAGTGGTATTGGGACTGGGCAGAGATTGCTCTTCTTCCAAGACTTGGTATGGATCAAAAGCAGGGTTGCCACCCACCGGAACAAAAAAATCCCTGACTTTTCACTCACTGTAAAGCAATTTTCACTGACCCTGCAGGATGACTATTCTGGCCATGAATCAACAAAAATAAGGATGGCTCAGACAATTTTTAAAACAAAATTGCCTTATCTATACAAAAACATCTAATAAAATAATTTGCCGCAACTTTAAGATAAAATTCCCTCACTTTTCACTGACTTTGAACAGGGATTTACTAGTAACCCCCTGACCTGATAAAAAACTCCCTGACTTTTCCCTGACCTTGAATAAAATTTAATTTTCCCTGCCCCTTCCCTGACCATGGCAACCCTGAAAAGGACTGTGGCCTCTGGAGAGAAGACGCATGCTAATTTTTTCCACATCATGCGAATATTATGAAGTTCTTTAACCCATTGACGCATTTTTTGGACATTTTGGAGATTTTCAGGCTGGATACGGGCCAAAGTAGCTCCAATCTATTCAAAAAGGCATTTGCAACACGACAGCATGCCTTTCTTTCCACTAGCATCGTGTTTTACAACATTTTTGATTGGGCATGTAGAGAAATCAAAATTTTGAGATAGCGAGCTATGTCTTTAGGCTTTTCGATTTTTTAATTTTTTTTCGCCTTTCTTTTTTTTCCTTTTCTTTCCTTTTTGCTGCAGTGATTGACCTTCTACTGGGCTTGCTTCCAGTTCAAAAAATTCTGAGAAAGCATCATCGAGACGGGCAATTTTTACAATGGAGTAGCCACGTGTAGTCGCAGGAAATTTTGCTCTGAGTTTTTCACTCAACTTTTTGAGCATTTTTGTGCATATTTCAGGCTCCATTGAGCTGATCACTCTGCTCTGGGTACAATGGAAAGATCTTTTCCTCCTGCAGAAGTTGAGCATAGACGATGTCCAGTTTGGTCAAAGGTGATGACGTCAGAAGTGGAACAAAGGCCAAGGCTCGTCATTGGCGGTTACGGGTGGCACGGGAGTCAATGAGTTAAATTGAAACTCAACACTGAAATGGTTGGTTTGAAATGCTGTTTGCAATCTATACTATACCACAACCAGTAAAATTTGTTAAGCTGTCGGTGACTACAAGAATCATGAACTTGTCTCTATCTAGATCTATAAGCAAGGGTATTATATTATATGTGCTAAGCTTAATCAAAGTGAAACACGCATACATTTTTGTCCTTACTACTATAAAGTTAAGATACAAAAGTTAAAATCGCCCGTTAATTTCTTACCCTAACCAACTGAAACCAGCTGAAGCGACACGGGATGTGCTGCGCTGGAAATTATTGGCTACTGACATGGCAGCAAAGAAAAACTTACTATCTAACTAGTAAATAAATATTCAATTGTACAAGGTGTTACCCTCTTCTCAGGACACCACCAACATCTAATATACTCTCCAATGGAACGCAAAACCGCTGCGGACATTTCTTGAAAAGGCGTGCTCGGTTTCCACGAGAATGCAGCTGCAAAGACCCTCTTGTCTTTCAAATAATAAAGCATGGTTAATTATATAAACAAACAGAATTTTATCACATGAAGATATTACTTACTTCCCGCAGAGCGAGTTTTGCTACAACGCTGTGTTTCGTTGCTTTTGTAATACCCGCCATATTGGTTTGATATAAGCCCGCGATAAAGACAAGTTTGAACGTTAATGAAATTGTGCGCAGGCATCAGTTTCTATAACACTCCGCTGAACCACGAGGCTCAGTTTCGAAGCTTTGTTTTGAGGTTTTGTCAACGGTTCAAGAAGTCTCAGCTGTTGATTGTGATTCTTTGATAAAATGCCCCCTGAGTCCAAAGAAGACGATTTGCACGAGAGAATTGGAAGTTTTGTTTCTTATCTCAAACAAGGGTAAGTACAGTTACACCACCATCGCAGAAGTTACTTGGAAAATTACACTGAGACTGGCCTTGTACGTTGATCTGAATTTGTCTTTCGCTTTTTTCCAGACAACTGCACGGCTCTTATGATGTAGCATTTCAGACATTACAACTTTTGAGAAGAATTGTCTCGCAGACACGTTGGAGTACAGCCGGGTAAATTACTTTGTGTCAACTCTCTGACATGATAATATTTTTTTTTGATATCTCAGGAGGAGAGGAATTTTATTTAATAATAATACACATGAAAAAATTACTCGATTCTGATTGGCTAAGAGCAGTGCAGTTCAAGTGTAACACCAGTGCAAAAAGTGTAACATCAGTGCA